AGATCATGGTGATGGCATAGCAACGAGAGGGGAGAGTGTTCGTCTACGTACCCTCGTAGACCGTAAGCGGAAGCGTTATGACAACGCGGTTGATGTAGTCGTACGTCTTCACGATCCGACCGATCCAAGCACCGAATGTACGGGGCCTCCGAGTTCAGCACACGTTCAGCTCGATGACGATCTCCGGCCTCCGATCCAGCCGAGCTCCGGAGATGAGTTCCGTTGGCACGACAGCGTGGTGACGATGATGATGTTCTATCGGCGCAGGGCTTCGCCTAAACTCCGCGACGATATGACCGAGGTGGAATATGGTGGAAGGGGGCACCGCACACGGCTAAGGAACGATCCGTAGATCAACTTGTGTGTCCATGGGGTGCCCCCTACCCCCGTATATAAAGGAGCAAGGGAGGAGGAAGCCCTAGGAGGAGGGCGCGCCAAGGGAGTCCTACTCCCACCGGGAGTAGGATTCCTTCTTTCCTAGTCCAACTAGGAGTCCTTCCATGTATTAGGAGTAGGAGACAAGGAAGGGGAAGAGAGAAGGGAAGGAAGGAGGGGGTGCGGCCCCTCCCCCTAGTCCAATTCGGACTAGGCCATGGGGGGGCGCGCGGCCTGCCCTAGGCAGCCCCTCTCTCTTTCCCGCAGGGCCCAATAAGGCCCAATACTTCTCCCCGGCGAATTCCCGTAACTCTCCGGTACTCCAAAAAATACCCGAATCACTCGGAACCTTTCCGAACTCCGAATATAGTCGTCCAATATATCGATCTTTACGTCTCGACCATTTCGAGACTCCTCGTCATGTCCCCGATCTCATCCGGGACTCCGAACTCCTTCGGTACATCAAAACTCATAAACTCATAATATAACTGTCATCGAAACCTTAAGCGTGCGGACCCTACGGGTTCGAGAACTATGTAGACATGACCTAGAACTATTCTCGGTCAATAACCAATAGTGGGACCTGGATGCCCTTATTGGCTCCTACATATTCTACGAAGATCTTTATCGGTCAAACCGCATAACAACATACGTTGTTCCCTTTGTCATCGGTATGTTACTTGCCCGAGATTCGACCGTCGGTATCCAATACCTAGTTCAATCTCGTCACCGGCAAGTCTCTTTACTCATTCTGTAATGCATCATCCCGTAACCAACTCATTGGTCACATTGCTTGCAAGGCTTATAATGATGTGCATTACCGAGAGGGCCCAGAGATACCTCTCCGACAATCGGAGTGACAAAACCTAATCTCGAAATACGCCAACTCAACATGTACCTTCGGAGACACCTGTAGTACTCCTTTATAATCACCCAGTTACGTTGTGACGTTTGGTAGTATCCAAAGTGTTCCTCCGGTAAACGGGAGTTTGCATAATCTCATAGTTACAGGAACATGTATAAGTCATGAAGAAAGCAATAGAAACATACTAACGATCAAGTGCTAAGCTAACGGAATGGGTCAAGTCAATCACATCATTCTCCTAACGATGTGATCCCGTTAATCAAATGACAACTCTTTTGTCCATGGCTAGGAAACATAACCATCTCTGATAAACGAGCTAGTCAAGTAGAGGCATACTAGTGACACTATGTTTGTCTATGTATTCACACATGTATTATGTTTCCGGTTAATACAATTCTAGCATGAATAATAAACATTTATCATGAAATAAGGAAATAAATAATAACTTTATTATTGCCTCTAGGGCATATTTCCTTCACTCTTTGGGTGTTAATCACATAGCGATGCGAACTAGATTATTGACTCTAGTAAACCCTTCGGGTGTTGGTCACATGACGATGTGAACTATGGGTGTTAATCACATACAGATGTGAATATTGGTGTTAAATCACATGGTGATGTGAACTAGATTATTGACTCTAGTGCAAGTGGGAGACTGAAGGAAATATGCCCTAGAGGCAATAATAAAGTTGTTATTTATATTTCCTTATATCATGATAAATGTTTAATATTCATGCTAGAATTGTATTAACCGGAAACTTAGTACATATGTGAATACATAGACAAACAAAGTGTCACTAGTATGCCTCTACTTGACTAGCTCGTTGAATCAAAGATGGTTAAGTTTCCTAGCCATTGACATGAGTTGTCATTTGATTAACGGGATCACATCATTAGAGAATGATGTGATTGACTTGACCCATTCCGTTAGCTTAGCACTTGATAGTTTAGTATGTTGTTGTTGCTTCCTTCATAACTTATACATGTTCCTATGACTATGAGATTATGCAACTCCCGAATACCGGAGGAACACTTTGTGTGCTACCAAATGTCACAAAGTAACTGGGTGATTAAAAAGGTGCTCTACAGGTGTCTCCGATGGTGTTTGTTGAGTTGACATAGATAGAGATTAGGATTTGTCACTCCGATTGTCAGAGAGGTATCTCTGGGCCCTCTCGGTAATACACATCACTATAAGCCTTGCAAGCAATGTGACTAATGAGTTAGTTGCGGGATGATGTATTACGGAATGAGTAAAGAGACTTGCCGGTAACGAGATTGAACTAGGTATTGAGATACAGACGATCGAATCTCGGGCAAGTAACATACCGATGACAAAGGGAACAAAACGTATGTTGTTATGCGGTTTGACCGATAAAGATCTTCGTAGAATATGTAGGAGCCAATATGAGCATCCATGTTCCGCTATTGGTTATTGACCAAAGACGTGTCTCGGTCATGTCTACATAGTTCTCGAACCCATAGGGTTCGCACGCTTAACGTTTGGTGATGATCGGTAATATGAGTTTATGTGTTTTGATGTACCGAAGGTAGTTCGGAGTCCTGGATGAGATCGGGGACATGACGAGGAGTCTCGAAATGGTCGAGACGTAAAGATCGATATATTGGACGACTATATTCGGACATCGGAAAGGTTCCGAATGATTTGAGTATTTATCGGAGTACCGGAGAGTTACGGGAATTCACCGGGGAGTATATGGGCCTTATTGGGCCTTAGTGGAATAGAGGAGGAGGAAGCCTAGGAGCCCCCCCCCCCAAGCCCAATCCGAATTGGGTGATGGGGCCGGCCCCCCTTTCCTTCTTCTCTCCCTCCTCTTTCCTACCTCTCCTACTCCAACTTGGAAGGGGGGGATCCGGAGTAGGACACCCCTATGGCGCGCCCAAGAGAGGGCCGGCCCTCCCCCTCCTCTACTCCTTTATATACGGGGGAGGGGGCACCCCATAGACACAAGTTGATCATTGATCTTTAGCCGTGTGCGGTGCCCCCCTCCACCATAATCCACCTCGGTCATATCGTAGCGGTGCTTAGGCCAAACCCTGCGTTGGTAGCTTCATCAACATCGTCATCACGTCGTCGTGCTGACGGAGCTCTCCCTCGAAGCTCTACTAGATCGTGAGTTCGTGGAACGTCACCGGGCTGAACGTGTGCAGATCGCGGAGGTGCCGTACGTTCGGTACTAGGATCGGTCGATCGTGAAGACGTACGACTACATCAACCGCGTTGTCATAACGCTTCCGCTTACGGTCTATGAGGGTACGTGGACGACACTCTCACCTCTCGTTGCTATGCATCACCATGATCTTGCGTGTGCGCATGATTTTTTTTTTTTGAAATTACTACGTTTCCCATCAGGGAGGATGTGCTTTCACTCTCATATCACCCCTCCTGCCGATTTTCTTCTTACCTCTGGTTAAAAAACTCTCTTTGAGAGATATGATAGGGTAGTTTATTCGAACCCTGGTATGTTTGATCTGTGGCAGCTATTTTGGTTGTCGCCGAGAGCTGTTTAACAGCCTGTTCTGTTGTGGTTTGCCATGGCTTTAATAAAAGTTGGGGCGGGGAAACCCCTGTCTTTAAAAAAAAAAAAAGACAATGAAGCAAATATCAAATTTCAGCAACCGAGTACCGCATAATCGATGTCGTCAACTCTGCGTAAAATAATATCACTTGTTACCATAGTTCCAAATACCGTATCAATCAAATCGATGTCGTGCACGAGACAAGTAGGACATGGCCTGTTGACCGTCAGTCAATTCTAGCACGTGGTCCGACGAGACCAGTGCGTACGGTTTGGTTTGGACAAAGTGACTTTTTGAGACGTGGCACGGAAATTCGGCCCACCCACTTTTGGAGGCTAGCTTCGCGGGAAACAATTTCCGGTGCAGACCGGTTATCTCGTTCGACAAATTCGACGCCGAGGTGATTTGCCTCACTTCGGAGGCAGCCCAACAACTGGAGGCCGACTGCATGGAGGAACTGTTGGGGAAGCTTCGTTAAATCTGTTTCAAGACCATCGACCGAAGATGACGTGCAGCTCGGAGATTGCCGAGGTGAGGCCAAGGGATGCGCAGAATGCCAAACATCGAATATTTGTTTCTGCCAGCAAGACCTGTGCAACTATGGACCCTACTGAGGGACGGTTATCCTTTGATGCTTAGTACATGAACATAACTAGAAAATACTACCTCTGTAAAAAAAATATAAGAGCGTTTAGATCACTATTTTCGAGTACTTAATGAGCATGCTTCCAATGATTGGGTGAACTGGCAAACAGGACACTCGACGGTTCTCTTACCCAGTCTGAGTTTTGAAACTAAGGTTGTAGGCACAACAAAACATGGGTTTACAAGAATGAATAAGCACAATATAACATGAACTTAGGGAGATTAGAGGTCTAGGAAATACAGACAGTTACAGAGGTACTTATGCATCAGAAACTACATAGTATTAAACATGTCTCAACTTCATATGTAGGCTTCCAAAAGAAATTTCAAAATATTGATGGATGCAGGCAGAAAGGTGTTATCTTTAAGTAAGCTATAAGTCACACTCAATAGTTGCCTTGTGATCAGTACTTGTCCATGGGAGAAAAAACAGGTAAACTTTGGTACAAAAGAAATTAAACTGAACAGCGTGAGTTTTTCCAGAGTGCCATCCCCAGTAGCAATGGTTGGATGAACCATTTCCCCAGTAGCAAGGTGTGAAAAAAAAACACCAAGTATTCATATTCAGACATTATCAGTAGGCGGCGGCAGCTCCAGCAAACTTCCTGAATAGCCTGAGCGCGTCCATGACGCCATTCGAAACAGCGACATGATCGTCGTGCTCGTTGGTCTTGTTGGCTGCGTCGTCCAGGAAGCAGTGCGCGGGTGCCTGCCACTGCGAATCGTCTTCCAGCACCACGCCCACCTCGAAGCTCATCACAAACTGCTCTATCCCCGTCACTGCAACCATGCAAAGCTCCATCAAATCAAATCCAGTAAAGTTCAGACATCACGTGGGGATGTATGGATCGCGGCCGGGCCGTACATACCATCAATGAAGTTCCAGCGGACGGGGCGGCGCGTGAGTGCGTCCTCGTAGTAGACGATGAAGTCAGCCTTGCCCCAGACGTGGCAGTCGATCCCGCCGGTGGTCTCGCGGCCGAGGTAGACGGCGCCGCCCTCGGCGATCCACCCGGGGCGGAGCATGCCGACGGGGAACTGCAGCGTGCGGCAGGTGGCCGAGTCGAAGTAGAAGCTGGTGCCGTTGTTCCACTCCACGTCGTACAGCGGGTCGCGGGACAGCTGGTACCGGATCAGGTTCAGGTTGCGCCGCCGCGGCCAGTCGTAGTAGAGGTCGTGCAGGCAGAGCGGTGGGCTCGTCGATGCGAACGAGACGTTGGTCAGGTTCGTGAACAGCACCGCGTGGAACTGCTCCGGCCATGGCGCCGGCCCGTCAGGCGTCGTCGCTGAGGACGACGCCGCTGCAGTGGTGGTGGCGGCGATGAGCAGGAGCTGGAGCAGTGGCCATGCCATGTCTGTCCCGGACCTTATCTTTGGTTACACCTGTCTGTCTGCTGGTGAGCGAGGGGTGTCCACTGACCAAAAGCAATGGATGAATGGGCAGCAAATGTATACCAATCCATGTGCAGCAATTTCAGCCGCACAAGCTTCTTGGAGATTTATCAAGTGAAGAGACAATGAAGCAAATAGGAGTATCAAGTTTCAGTGATGAGTACCAAATAATCAATGTCGTCCACTCTGTGTAAAATAATATCACTTGTTAGCATAGTTCCAAATACAGCGTCATTATGCAGATCCAATTACACCAAATTTAGGAGATTGGCCATTGCCGCAAGAATGATCAATTCCACTACTGAAATTTTTAGTTACATTATGCTACAAGCGAGGCCGAACCAGACAAGTAGGAGCACTAAATATTAGCACGTTCATATAACTTTGGATTTTGGCTGGAATATGAACTTGATGGGACAGACAGACAGACTATTAAAGTTCACCGTACAAAAAGACCGACTATTAAAGTCACAAGGAATATCAATATGAATAGGCAAATGTAAAGATGTGCAAAATTATCTGATTCAGCACCTGTCCTGCATGGTCAAATGCTGGCTTCCTCTCAATTCCGCAGTAAGAATGTGACTAGATTTTTGCTGATACAGTACCCAAGTACCTCTGACCACCAATGACCAAAAGCAATGAATGGGCAGCAAATATGATTCATGTGCAGCTTCGTTATAATTTTAGCCACACAAGCTTCTTGGAGATTAGGTTGACAACGAAAGGAGCACTCAGACCATGCCTCTATGGACAAGCAAATTTAGGAGAATGGCCATTGCTGTGAGAATGATCAATTCCACTACTGAACATTTTTAATTACATGCTACAAGCGAAACTGCCCGAGACAAACACTACTGAACTATACAGATCCTCTTGTGAACCACACCATCTAAGTATCTTTCCTTGTATGCACATTTTTTTACCAACATTATTGTCTGCTAATTTTGTCAGAACATCAGGAACCTAGGACATTAAAAACTACAACAATTTGTTTCTAGAAGAAGCTCACAAAACTTTTTTACTTTCTTATGTCAAGGAGTAAAGTTACATGGTCATGAAAACTCTCTATCAGGCCATTGGCCACTCATTACAATAAATGATCTATTGTTTGTACAGAATTAGCTCACGAAAAGCAAGATGCAGCAATGGAAATAAAGTTGTATCGCTTCACATACAGTAAGTGAAAAAGAAATGAGTAAGGGGACCAAATTTAGTTGCCTGAACAGATGTAGCAGAGATAGAGCCTAGTTTGTTTTTACCCTTACCTACTTCTGGCCAATACCCCCACAGACGCCCCTCTTCCTGTGCAGAAAATGCCCCTGACCCTCCTCCAAGCAGTAAGGACCAGAATGACAACAGCGAGACAAAGGACCAATAAAAGTCAACGAAAGTGAGCGAAGTAGCTTGGCCAGTTACCTGCACCAACAACCAAATAAATGTAGCCAACGGATCAAGGCAGAACGCAGAGCAGTGAGTATGTTTTACTAATAAGCTAGATTGAACAGTTGAAAATCTGAAAATTTGATGTGCATACCAGGAATAAACGATGGCCAAGTAATGAAAAATATTGTACAAATAATTAAAAGAATCAGACTTGCAGGTAATTTTAAGAAACAACATCATATCATATACATCATATCTTAGCCAAGGTGTGCAGGTGATAAACATGTGAATCTAAGGAGTAGGAACTCACCCATTATAAGCCAACAACAAGCAATTTTTTTATTGCCTCCACTCTATATTACTGGGAGTGGCATACAGGTTCAGTCCCTACAGATGTTACTTCCAACAGATGGCTTCGATTCTGATTGAAAACCATTCTATATGGCGCTTGCATGGCTTCTACTGCAGGGACGATCTGAACAAAGAAGTGAAACTCATCTTAGAGAACCATCAAGACATAAATTGGGTAGCTGAAACAAAATTTGATCAAATAAGAAAAACGGTGATCCAATGCCTATCCATGATGTACCACGAGATACTTGCACATACTACCAAAAACAACTGACTATTGTAGGAAGATAAAGGCAAAGCAAATACAAATATAAAAGAATCTAATTAGTATGTTACTGCTTTTTTACTACTTGACATACAGCCTTTACTGGCGTACAAACTAAATGTAATCACCAACCTTCTTAACTAATGGTTTACCAAAAAAACAGCTAGACAGTAAGCACCACAGACCTTTCAATAACACAGAGAAATACCAAATGAATGGATTCATTCAAGATATAAATAATTAAGAAGTCACAAAAAGAGATTTTTGTTACCTGCTATTTTTCTTGGTACTCCAGAGGAAAAAGCCATCAATAGCCCTGTCAGACCAGCCTACCAGGCAGATAGTAAGAGCAGCAGCAAACAGGAACTTGTTAACCCTGAGGATGTTATCCATTGGCATATTTGCACACATAGTTATCTGAAGCTCACGATGGCAAAATGGACAACAAATACAGCAGTTTCCATCACAAGAAAACAACACATTGGATTAGTAATGAGCATACATCACTGGATAAGTAATATATGGTTCATTATGTACACAGTTCCTTCAATAAAAACAAAATACCATATAGCATCAGCATTAGCTGACTAAAATCACAGGCATCATCTCTGTTGCAAACAGTTTTTATTTTGCGAAAAGATCAAGTGTAGTATCATGTTCCTAAATATACATAAAAGCAAAAGGACTGAGGGCAGTAATGTATCAGTTCTCATGTGCCACATACATTCAGTAAAAAGAATTGTAGGCGTCAACATCATATCTAAAATCCAGCATGGAAAAATGTAACAAAATGCACCTGTTTCTATCACAGGAAAATGCAAACAAGATGCACCATGGACGATGATAATATCCCTCACTTTTAGTGGGGCAAAGTACTGTAATTGACCTTTTGCCGGTACAAACTGTTATCTTCCATTTGCTTAGCATTGCATTTCAGCACAGTTTAGGGATTGTAACTATGGAGTAAGAGTTTATGTTACTATGGTAGCATGACTAACTCACGATGTGTTCCCTCTTAAGGATACAGAACCAAATTGTAGAGCTCACCTAATTGTCCAAATAGGTGAGGCAATGATAACAATTTTTTCCATAACAAAATACTGGACAGGAGCACGGCAGGAGGAGGCGTCCCTCGGCAACGCGGACTGGAGCACGCACAGCGAACCCGGACGACCCAGAGGGTTGAGGGCTTGAGGCCACCGAAATATCTGGTGCATGTCAAAATAATTTAGGTGCATAGTACATTGAAATCTCCACCCGGAGCACGAATAGAGAAATCTGCTGAAATATGTTCCATCTCGAAAATGTATATTAACGTGAAGACATTGATATACCATTAAAAGCTAAGTATCTTGTGTCATTTATGGCACTTGGATCAGTATTTTAGGGAATAAGAACAGAACTGTCAAGTGGGAATGTTTTACTGAATTTCAACTTATATAATTAAATTATTAGGCAAGCTAATAATTTTATAAGCTTTCAGAATCCTATCCCCAAACACATGAAGATAATAGAAGAAATTGACTTAATTTCATGATCAAGATAGGCAGATGAGGGAAATAATTCTAGGATAGAAGAACATAATAACAATATACAGTCTTATATTTGTGCATTATAAGTAGTGAAGGTTAAATATCACAATGATTTGTATCTGGTTTTCAAAGATTTCGCATAGAAAAAACAAATAATTATGTAGTTTCAGTAAACAAAAAGTTATCACCTACAGCTACAGAAACACATCCTTCTCAAATCTCCGTTATCATGAAGACTGCACGAAGGCAATGGATTGAAAAAACAAAGAACTGAAACAAAAACATGCCATACAATATAAAATAAATCAATATCCTGCATTTGAGGAATAGTGATTCCCTTAGTTATTTGAAATGGGGTAGCGTCAAGCCTTACGTACAGTAAGCCTTGTTTATCCTAAAAAATGGCTATCGGACTACTTCCAGCTATGAACATGAAAGAAAAATACACCGAATGAAGCATTTCGTAAACTAGTTATAAGGAACATGGTAACAAAAAATATCAAAAATGTTAAGGTACCTGATAGATGTGCTCTTACAATCCTTAGTTGTTTGTCAGCATGTTCAGTGTGCATCCTTCATTTGCACAAGAAAGCCTAATCCCTACCAATAGTCTCCACAAGAACAAACTCCATCCTTGAAATGGTGAAACCTGCTTGAATCTCTTACAATTATGTCTCTGTTCACAATCTTTGACATCATCTTGATTGCAGCATGGCAGTCTAGGCAAGCGGATAGATTTTTCATAACTCTAATTGGCGTCCCTGGTGGGGTGTTAATCAGAGCAAATGCAATGGCCAATCTCTCGCTGTGGTATTTCAATGACTCCAACTTTAAGTCATCATCCACTTGATGCAAGGCACAGCTAGTGTCGGGCTTATATCCCTGTTTATCCATCTCTTTGTACAGCCTCTCAAGCTCTTCTTTCATCTCGGATATCATCGGGTTGGTTTGGTCATTTGAAGAAAAGCTGTAGATCTTTTGTTTGACTTCAACCCAACTGTAACCTGACTCTTTCCTAAGTCCTCTATTTCTCATGGTCTTTTTAACACGGGCAGCGTCTTCCCATTTACCAGCCTTTGCATATATGTTGGACAGTATAACGTAAGGTGTCGCGTCTGTGGATCCCATACTGAACAACTTTTCAGCTGCCACTCTAGCTAAATCCTGGTTTCCATGGATCCTGCACGAGTGAAGAATGGAGCTCCAAATGATTGGATCATCTTCAAATGGCATGTCGCTCAACATTTTCTGAACTTTATCGAAACGTCCCACCCGACCTAATGTATCGACAACACAAGCATAGTGTCCCTTCCAGGGGGATATGCCATATTCATGTTCCATCAATTCAAAGTATTTCATACATTCTTCTGCAAGACCGTTGTGACTGCAGGCTGACAGTACACTCAAGAAAGTAACTGAATCTGGTTTGAACCCATAATGAAGCATACCTTCAAACATCTTGATGGCGTTCTTTGCCTGCCCGTAGTGCGCGTAGGCTGAAATAACAGCATTCCATGAGATGGAATTCCTCTCAGGCATCTCATCAAATGTTTGGAGCGCCTCACCCAAACAGCCACATTTTGCCTACATGTCAAGAAGGGCACTTCCTGAGAACACACTGGAGATGTGGCCTGATCTGATGGTGTAAGAATGCAACTGCCTCCCTAACCCGATCATTGCCAGGCTTGAGGACGCCTTAATGATGCTTGAAAATGTCGCCCTGTCCGGGCTCAGACCAGCTCTTCTCATGTCACAGAATAACCGCAGCGCTTCCTCCAGCTGCCCATTCTGGACATACCCAGTTATCATTGCTGTCCATGAAACGCCTGTCTTGTCATTCTTGTTGAGAAAATTGGTCTTTGCAGCATCCAACATCCCACATTTTGAATACATGTCAATCAGGGCGTTGCCCACAAGATCCTCCGAAGAAAGGCCAAGAAGGACCAGCTGAGCATGTATTTGCTTCCCAATCCCAATGTGAGGCAGTGAGCCAGCAACACTCAGCAAACTAGCATAAGGTAAGGCCTGCCTGTCGAAACAGAGTATCTGCATCTCTCTGAACAGCCGCAGCGCTCTGCTAGCGCACCGGTTCCAAGCATAGCCTGAGATCATGACATTATATGAGACATTGTCGCGCTCTGGCATCTCGTCGAACAGCTTCTCCATCTCAGCAAGGCAGTCACATTTGGAGTAGAAATCCAGCAACGAGTTGTTGACAAACACGTTGTGCGCCGAGGTGGCTCTGGCCACGAGGCCGTGGACCTGGCGCCCGAGGTGGAGATCACCCATGCCTGTGGCTACGGTGAGCATGCTGGAGAAGGTGAACTGGCTGGCGTCAAGACCCGCGCGACGCATATCAGTAAATAGGCCCAGCGCTTCCCTGTGCAGCCCCTCCTTGGAGCACCCCATCATCATGGCATTGTAGGTGACAGAGTCCCTGTGCGGCATCTCCTGGAACACTCTCATGCCAGCAGCGAGGAGACCATGCTTGCAGTAGGCGTCGAGCAGCGTGTTGCAGACGACGACGCTGGAGCGGAGGAGGCCAAGCTTGACGGCGAAAGGGTGGAGCGACGCGGTGACGGTGCCAGAGGCGGGCACGTTGAGCACGGTGGACACGGTGACGCGGTCCGGGGCAACGCCCTCCCTGAGCATGTCGCGGAAGAGGGCCAGGGCGTCGGCGGCGCGGCCGGGGGCGGCGGCGAAGGCGGCCATCATGATGGTCCAGGTGACGGCCTCGCGGAGGCGGGGCGGGGAGGAGAGGAAGAGCTGGTGCGCGGCGGCGAGCTGGCCCGACCTGGAGTAGCCGGAGAGCATGCGGTTGAGGGAGAAGGCGTTCTTGGTGTGGGGCATTTGGTCGAACAGGACGCGGGCCTGCGCGAGGCGGCCGGAGGAGATGAGGGACTGGAGGTGGAGGTTGAGGCGGTAGGCGGCCGGGTCGAATCCCGTCTTGACCATGCGGGCGTCCGGCGGCGTGGCGGCGCCGAAGCCGGCACCGCCGCGGGGGAGGACGGCGTCGGCATTGGCAACGGCCACGGTGGGTCTGAACGGGAGGCGCATTGCGGGCGGCGCGTATGGGGTTTTTTTCCGTAGAACGGGAGGGAGCATTAAGGCCCGGCCCAGGCCCAAGCGTCGCCGTTTCCAAGTGATTCCGAGCTGCCTCTCTCCAATCCCTCAAAAAAAAAAAACGATGCCTCTCTCCATTGTCAGTTGTCAGGAAGGAGGGACCAGACTCGAGGCGGCAAACATATGCCTTTCCAGACAAACTCGAGCCGGCAAAAATTCCATGAGTTCGGTCTTGCAACGCAAGGTTGTTTGACTTTTCATAGTGCCACATAATGCAGCCCTTGATGGTACTGGTTGGGATACGGAATTTGCATATTTCCTCGGCATCAAAAGGATGGAAGATTTGGTTTACAAGCTCCGTATCCCACTCTTTGGACCCCTCCTTCATAAGTTGATTGTCACATCTGCAAACAGATACGAAAACATATCGCGAGTGATTCCGATCGAGCTACAATACTGAATTATGGTTCATCTATCTCTCTGGTTGCCTACCTTTGGTTTACTAATAGAATATTTTTAAGAAACTCCATTTTTAGCCGGTAGTGGTGATGAGACCTTCCTCTGTAGGTGATATGCTATCCAAAGCATACAATAGGAAGATGATGAACAAAAAAGGATGACATTGATGCTAAAAAAACTGGGCAACATTGGTTATCTGGCCGCTATGTATATCTGCATTTGGTATATAATCCTTCCTTTCACACAACAATAGCAATTGTCCATGCCTCCATGGCATGGTTCAGTTTATTGCCTACTGAAACTCAAGATACAAAAAGACATTATTCAATCATGAAACTGAATAAGTTTTTCAGTGGAACAAATTAAATTAATGTTGTGAAACATCACAAAACATATACTACGAAAACACTTAATGAAAAAATGAAACTAACAATGGACTTTTTGTGTGCATGGTTGGTCATCTGGTCTTAATGAATACGTATATGTAGAACAATATTCTTCAATTCACATAAGATACATGAGTTGTGTTATAAACAAAATGCAAGAAACTTGGGAAAGATCAAAAACTTTCAGTGGTGCAACCGAACTCCAGAACTCTTGTTCAATCATAAGGGTATCTAAACGCCAATGACTATTGAAAAATAAGAAGAACATCGTAGCAAAATCTTGTTAGTGAAAAGGGACATAATATAAACACATATGACTTTTTGTGCATATGTATGTGAGAAACAAGTCAATTCTAGCTAGTGCACTTTTTGATACGTGAGAAGAAAGATGACATCTATACATGTAAATTAAGCTCAAATGGTTTGAGCACATGCATGCTATTTATGTAATAGTTTAACACAATTGTATGGTACAATGCATACCAAGGTAGAACAAAAATATGTCAAAATAAGGTAGCTCAAACTTTTATGGAGGCCAACAACATAATAACATGAACCTTTTTCTTATAGAGGAAAGGGGGAGAGAATGAGATGTAAGCGCGGCGGCACTGCAAGGAGCGAAAGGGCACAATGAGGAGTGGCGGCTAGGGTTTTCACCCGCTTAGAGGCCACATCAGAGAGAGAAAGAGTGCACAGGTGATTAGGGTTCCCTTGCCTCCCGTTGGCGCCGCCGCCGATCTACCTCGCTTATGTGGCCTTCGGGCCATGGAGGCGGGGTGGATCTCGGCCCCCGTCTCGGGAGGGCTCCATTTTGCTGGTTTTGGGGTTAATGTTTGGTGGGACGACACTCAGGTGGTGGTGGCGGCGTCTTGTCCAATAAAATCTCCATGGCTTCAGCCCCATCTTGGCGACGACGTCTAGAAGCTTGTGGGATTTGTGTGGTTCTTGAGGACTTCTTCTGGCCGTAGGGAACTGTGGATCGTCAAGGAGCTTCATCGGTGGTTCTTCCTCCTTCGTCATCTTCGGGATAGATGTGGTCTTCTTGACCCGTTCGGCGCTTCCCATCCGCATCCAACAACGTCAGGACGGCTCAGGGAGGAGTGGCAGTGTCGGCGCACCGTCGACATGGTCTGGACGTTGAAGACGAAGGGCATCTCAAGGATTCCATTGTAATTTTCGTTTTTGTTGAGGTGCTTTGTACTGTCTGGTGTTTCTTTTAATGCCAGGGTCCTTTTCGCAAAAAAGAAGAGGCTAAGCCCTCTCCTGTCAGACCCTAAGCCACCATGTGAAATCCCAAAACTAACCCCACCCAAATCCTGAAAAATATCCAACGGCCAAGCTCGCGTGAAAAAATATCGAACGACTGAAATGATCCAGACCCAGAGATAACGCCCACGATCGCATCAGCAAATCGATCGGGTGGACGATATGGTCCAAGCTCTGAGTGGCCCTAGTGCGTCGGCAAATCAATCGGACGGCGGATGTCGGTGTCAAAACCGGCGGATCTCGGGTAGGGGGTCCCGAACTGTGCGTCTAGGCGGATGGTAACAGGAGACGAGGGACACAATGTTTTTACCCAGGTTCGGGCCCTCTCGATGGAGGTAAAACCCTACGTCCTGCTTGATTAATATTGATGATATGGGTAGTACAAGAGTAGATCTACCACGAGATCAAGGAGGCTAAACCCTAGAAGCTAGCCTATGGTATGATTGTTGTAATGTATGTTATGTCCTATGGACTAAAGCCCTTCAGTTTATATAGACATCGGACAGGGCTAGGGTTACACAGAGTCGGTTACAATGGTAGGAGATCTACATATCCGTATCGCCAAGCTTGCCTTCCACGCCAAGTAAAGTACCTTCCGGACACGAGCCGGAGTCTTCAATCTTGTATCTTCGTAGTCTTGGAGTCCGGCGGACATTGATAGTCCGGCTATCCGAACACCCTCTAGTCCAGGACTCCCTCAGTAGCCCCTGAACCAGTCTTCAATGACGATAAGTCCGGCGTGCATAATGTTCGGCATTGCAAGGCGGGTTCCTCCCTTGAATAATCCAGAGAAGATCATGAACACCAGGATAGTGTCCGGCTCTGCAAAATAAATTCCACATTCCACCGTAGAGAGAATAAAATGTACACTTAGTTCAATCTGCTGACGTATTATGCGGCGTGACATCACACCGCCACCAGGCCTTTGTTTGAATCATTATACCACCTCAGCATGTTTAGCGAAGCGGTTTCCTTGGCACGTCTTGTCGAAGCAGAGATCGTGTTCCCCTTATTCCGGAATTCTCATCAATACGTGCGTGGGTAACCCAGCCGCGCCATTGATGGTGGCGCTTGGGAGATAAACGAGTTTTACCAGGCTGGTGGGGGACGCATAGTTTTGTCCGCCTATATAAGGGATAAGGATTCACCTTCTCACCTACGCCTTCTTCCTCCTTTGCCTATCCATCCCCGCGAACTCAAGCTCCAACGCCCGAGCTCGCTCATCTCATCTCGACCTTCTCCGAATATGCCCGGAGCGGGAGGTAAATGGTTAGCCTCCATCGTCAAGGAGGTGGACATCACCAAGCTGCGCATCGCCAGATACCTTTCCGGCGATATCGAGCATCGGCTGCCCGACGAGGGGCA